AGTAGTAGTAGTAGTAGTAGTAGTAGTAGTAGTAGTAGTAGTAGTAGGAGTAGTAGTAGTAGTGGTAGTAGTAGTAGTAGCAGTAGTAGTAGTAGTAGTAGTAGTAGTAGTTGTAGCAGCAGCAGCAGCAGTAGTAGTAGCAGTGGCAGCAGCAGCAGCAGCAGCAGTAGTAGTAGTAGTAGTAGTAGTAGTAGAAATAGTCAGTAGTAGTGGTCATTCTGACTGAAATGCGGACGTCGTTCATAGGTCGTTCAGAGGTCGTTTTTTCGCCGAGAAATCTGGCTAAATACTGTCCAGCGAAAGTGGGCAGCAGCAGCAGGAGCAGCAGCAGGAGTAGGAGTAGGAGTAGGAGTAGCAGTAGCAGTAGGAGTAGGAGTAGTAGTAGTAGTAGTAGTAGTAGTAGTAGTAGTAGTAGTAGTGGTAGTGGTAGCAGCAGTAGCAGTAGCAGTCGCAGTCGCAGCAGCAGCAGCAGGAGGAGTAGTAGTAGTAGTAGTAGAAGTAGAAGTAGAAGTAGAAGTAGTCAGTAGTAGTGGTCATTCTGACTGAAATGCCGATGTCGTTCAGAGGTCGTTTTTTCGCCGAGAAATTTGGCTAAATACTGTCCATCGGTGGTGAGCAGCAGCAGCAGCAGGAGCAGCAGGAGCAGCACCAGCAGCAGCACCAGCAGCAGCACCAGCAGCAGCAGGAGCAGCAGGAGGAGCAGGAGGAGCAGGAGCAGCAGAAGGAGCAGGAGCAACAGCAGGAGCAGGAGAAGCAAGAGGAGCAAGAGCAGCAGCAACAAATACATGATGTACGTAGTTAAGGAGGTCGTTCCCATGTCGTTTTGGACGTCGTCTGGAGGGTCGTTCCCCAACTAAATAACACATTCCACAAAGACAGAAAACATCAGAAATAGCTGCGGCGGTGCGTGGAATTCTGAACGAAGGATCCGACAATACTACTTTACATCAATCCACCTTTTTTTCTGGCTCATTTCAGCTGAGACCTGTCACGAAAACAGAGCTTCGATGCCACACCCTGAAACGCAAATCCCAATGGCACGGCCACATCCAACACCCCAAAAACACGACTCTCCAAACCCTAATCCCAATGGAACTGCGCAGCAAACTGCAGATCTCACAAAGCGCTGCGCCTGTGCAGTGAAATCATCCTCCACACTTCAACATCATTTCCACACGATTCCTCGCTATTTCACACGAATCTGACACGTCACGTTTTCATCCGAAACCCTCTCCAAAAGCTTCCCCCCCAATGGCAGCGCCTTAGCGCTCTACTGCGGACGGTTGCGAACGGTTGCGAACGCTTGCGAACGGTTGCGGACGGTTGCGAACATAGAAACAACGGGTCGCGAACAAGGCTCTACCCCCAGACCCCCAGAGTTAAACGAGAACCCTTCGCTACGCATTCGGGAAAAACATATAGTTAGCTACATATATGTTTCATATATTTGAACATATGTGTTGACATATACACTATAATTATACAAACAAATTACTATGCAATATTGTTGTATTTTTTTGTGGAGATCTCTTCAATTCAAGTTCTGCACTGCTTCTAATTAACTGTACAAATGCTAATTCAATGGTTCTGGGTCGAAAAGATCCAAAAAACAGCTTGCTAAACAACAATTGATGATCACATAAACATTAACTCTTAGATTTGCTACAACCTGAATATTTTCATTTTCAACCCAGTGCCAGAGGGTGATCTTGGCCAAACAAAACAACAAAGATAAGAAGGTGTTTTTTGGTGTCTGTCATGAAGGTTACAAGGTGTTGCGTCTTTCTTTGTTGTCTCTCTCTCTCTCTCTCTCTCTCGGGTTCTCTTTCTCCTGTTTCTAATGGCCAAGATCACCACCAGGGGGGTGGTACCCAGTGAAAGGATTAGCATTTCCGAGCCGCGGTTGCGCTTATTCTTGGACTTCAACACCGGGTCGGCGCCCTGATAGGCATAGACGCCGGCGGCCGCAACGCCGCCCATGCGAGCCTCGCGGCAAGAGCAGGGTAATTACATTAGCAGATCTATCTTGATAGCACCTCCTGCGCGTTCAGCCCGCCTCAAAGTCCAAGCCCATGAAAGTCAAAGAACTTGCGCGCCCTTTCGGGGCACAAGCTCTTGTTCCCGCGCAGAATTGCGCTAAGGGTGGATTCTGCTGCACCTGTAGCGGAGAGATGACGAGAAAATGGTTGCCGAATGTGATGACATCGGCGTGGCCTTTTGAGGTTGACCCTCGGTGAAGGCGGTGCTGGACTTTCATCCCGAGGCTCGCCAACTAAAGCCTGTGGTGCCAGGAAGATACACAAATATATGTGTGGTCACTATAACACTAATCACAAAATTGAAAACGGCGCCGTCCTCGAGGAAGGCTTTGTCGAAGGCCACGGTCGCCACAGTGCGACTCTTGCGCCGGCCCTGCTCGAGAGGAAGCGGCTTGGTCCATAGGACCGCGACCCCTCAGCACGTATCTGTAAAACATTTGGGGGAGATGTGTTGGGACACTGAGCGTCAGGCCAGCCCCGCAGAAGTCAGAAGTCGCACTCACTGGCGTCGGCCACGGCGCTGATCCGTCTATTCTAGGAACCAACAAACCATTAGGCGCTCTGATCTGCAGTCCGCACTCCATAAAGACCCGCACCACCCATCTACCGCGTTTTGATCCTCGACGCGTCGTTCTCACGCGGCTTGATCCTCGAGAGTGAGTGTGAGTGAGCGTGAGTGAGAGTGAAGGTGGGTGTTATAGTGAATGTGGGTGAAAGTGAGAGTGTGTGCGAGTGAGTGTGGGTGAGAGTGAGAGTGAGAGTGAGAGAGTGAGAGTGAGAGTGATTGTGAGTGAATGAGAGTGCGTGAATGAGTGAGAGTGAGAGTGGGAGTGTGAGGTGTGAGTGTGAGTGAAAGTGGGAGACTGAGAGTGGGAGAGTGCAAGAGTGAGCACAAAGTACTGCGCTTGCCACGAAATCTGCACTTCGAGGTTCACCAAGCCACGAAATCTGCACTTCGAGGTTCACCAAGCGCTGTGCCTGCCACGAAATCTGCACTTCGAGGTTCACCAAGCCACGAAATCTGCACTTCGAGGTTCACCAAGTGCCGTGCCTGCCACAAAATCTGCACTTCGAGGTTCGAGGCGCTGTGCCTGCCACGAAATCTGCACTCCGAGGCTCACCAAGTGCTGCACCTACCACGAAATCTGCACTTCGAGGTTCACAAAGTGCTGCGCCTGCCACGAAATCTGCACATGGAGGTTCACAAAGTGCTGTGCCTGCCACGAAATCTGCACTTTGAGGTTCACAAAGTGCTGCGCCTGCCACGAAATCTACACTTCGAGGTTCACCAAGTGCTGCGCCTGCCACGAAATCTGCACTTCGAGGTTCACCATTGCGACTGCCACGAAATCTGCACTTTGAGGTTGGTTCACCAAGCGCTGTGCCTGCCACAAAATCTGCACTTCGAGGCGCTGTGCCTGCCACTAAGTCGCTAGGCTCGGGGGCCTTCTTCCGAAGTTGGCTTCCAAACTGCCTCGCCAACATCGGGTCACATGCAAGGCGCAAACGCGCGGAGCCGCTTCACATTCTGAGGCCTGGGCCCGACGGGTTGTTGGAAACCAGACCTTGCCGCGCCTTCCGCCGCATAAAGGAAGCGTGTGCGAAATAGTCTTGTGCAGTTTAAAGAGTAGGCCTGAGTAGTCTAACACATTCAGGGCACCTTTCCAAGTCAGATGCTCAGATTCAAAAACAACAGCTAGTGGGTTGTGCCATTGAAGCCTGTCTGTGTCTGTCTGCTTGTGTCTGTGTCTGTCTGTGGGTTGTGCTATTCTCATTCAGAACCAAAAATCCAAACAAAACCATCAACCAAAAAAAAGAACCAACACAAAGAAATCATAACGAAAATATAATAAAAGAAATGGTTCTCGAATTTGAGCTAAAAATAATCCTTATATATCAATTTAGAGTACAATATTATCAATATTTTATAGACCTAATTTCCGTATAAACAATTATATACATAATCAAAAATATCAAAATATCTATCAAATTTCAAGATATTTATGCTTTACAAACATATATAATACAATCAAAAGCAAATTTCCGAAAATAAAAATATGAATTACGAAAATTATATTAATAAAACCAAAAGTTAAAAATTGTTATCATAATATAAAATCAATAGCCGTTTATTTTTAAACACAATATAATTCCAAAATAATACCAGTCCAAATCAATCCAAATATCTCCATAAACGGTATATAAACAAAACATATTCCAAATTTAATTACATAATTTTTAATCAAGTTTTCCTATTTCATCAATATCCAATATAAAATTTCCAATCGCCTCAAGCTTCTGGCGGCGGTGGCGGTGGCCCCGACGGCGGTTCACGTGCCTGATCGTGTCTCCTGAAGATTGAGTGGAAGCCCACGCCCAGGGCATCCAGGCAAAGCACTAGTCACTAGTCACTTAGTTCACGGGCAAAAGCCCAGGTGAGGCTTGAGTTTGAGGAGTGAAGGACCCTCTCGCGACCCAACCCATTTGTGAACAATTTGTTGCATGAGCCTCACAAAGCTCCAGCACTTTGGTGTTTGGACGGGTTCCACACGATGCATTTAGGAGTCTTGAAGTCGTACCTGGGAAGTGTGCTGGCTTTGCTCAGTGAGCAAGAGCCTCACGGCTCAATCGATTACAGGTTCCAAGCGTTGAGCGGGAAGTTGGAAAAAGGAAATGATCTGGTGGGAAACAACATCATTTCCTGGCGGGACATGGCACAAAGGTGCCCTTACGACTGTGCTCATGAAATTCGCTGAAGCCCGATTCCAAGCTGAGACATTCCCGAATGAACCATTACTTGGTTTGGCAGCCGAAGCGTGTGAGGGCTTCAAGTTTCTTCGGAGATATTCTCAAATGGCCTCTGTCTTGCCCTTGGGCGCTTCAGGAGGCTTGAAGGTGGTGCCTCGGTGAATCCCACCCCCTAAACGTCTTGCAGCAGCCAAGCCACACGCGACCTCTGCAAAAACTTCAACTCACATTTCAAAGGAAACAAAGCCTATGGACACACTGCAGAAGCATCCATGCACTCCCCCAAGCAATGGCAAGAATGCCTTGCTTGTCTTTTCTCTTCTTTTCATTTCTTTTCTTTCAAGCATGCCAGCAGGTCCTTTGAGTACCATGGTGGTAGAGTTTCTGGGAAAGGTTGTAGTGTCAAGAGTTGTGTTTGTAAATTTGTAAGTCTGAAAGTCGTCTGTGCAGTCTGAAAGTAATCTGTAAAATTGCATTGAAAGTGTTTGTTGGATTTGAAAGTAGTCTAGATATACTCTAGATCTGTTTCTCTTCTCTTCTCTTCTCTTCGCTTCCCCCCTTGGTCTTGTGAGCCAAACATTCCAGAAAAGTACAGTAAACCATCATGCTGACAACACCAAAAGCAGTCTCTTTCTCTTTCTCTGTCTTTTGCTCTTTCTCCTACTCTTCTGGGACCCTCTTGTAGGGCACTCTTTTGAGGCAAAGTCGACACTCTTGTAGGACACCTCAGGTGGTGCAATGTTGTTTCCACTGACAGCAATGCAGACCTCATCCCCATACAGAGGTTTTACAATCCGTTCTTAGACATCAAATTCTGCTACCGACTCAAATAAACACTCGTCTTTCCCGCTGACGCCGCCTAGCATCGCTCCAAGAAAGCCGGTACCTACGTATCGCATCCACCAGCGTGGCGATTGGGTCGTCATCCGTCACGAGGTGTTGGGTCGTGAAGCAAAGGGTTCCTCATGAGGCTGCTACCTACCTATTTACTCGGAAAGAACAAACCAAGGAATAAAACATGATATCTGATAAACCACTCAGTTCGCATCGGTCCTTGGTTTTTGGTTCGAGCAGGATTTCCTCAGTTCGGATCAAAGAGTTGTTTGGCAGGTTGTTCTAATCGGTGGGGATGATGCACAGGAAGTTGAGTCAACATTGATGTGGCCTCACTGTCCTCACTGTCACCTGACAGGAACCTGACATCAGCGAAAAGCAGTGCTGCTTGTGTGCAACCCAAACTATGGGTGGGCATATTATCATTCGAACTTGGCCCCTGCTCAAGAACTTAAGTTCTTCTTGACGTGGATCCGTTCGCCTTGGGTGGTTGAGCTGCATCGGAATCTGGTCCGTGGATGGTAAATGAGCGTCCACAAATACGCAAATGAGCCCTCAGAAACCACAGAATAGTTGACAAAGCGTGCGATCTGCTGACCAACATTAGCAAATATTAGCAACTGCCACTATCCCTACAAAAGCAGTCGTACCTTCTCAGGCACGGTGATGTATTCGACACTGTCATATAGGTGCCAGGAGGGTCCAGTCGTACCGAACCTGAGGTACGGTACGACTGGAATCCCTGGGGTAACGGGAGAACCACCGTGCCTGACGTCAACCGGAACCGCTCGGGGAACGGCCGCACCCCATGTTCACACGTCTGGGATCCGATCCCCAAAGGGTTTCTTAGATAAGAAAGGCTGTATAATGTAGATTGAGCCCGAAAATATCACAGGGAGGTATCCATGCAATTTTGGATTGTACTCCTCCACCACCAAATCTCCCCCTAATTTCCTCTCTATACCCTTTCACCCCCCCACTTCGTCAGCTTCGCTTTGCTTCCAGCGCTTGTTCGCTTTGCTTTTGCGCACCGAAGGCCACCATGGGAAAAAGCATGGGGTGCCGGTCCTGCCAAAGGCTGCGGCCGGGGGTGCGCCAACGCTGGCAGGGAAAACTGTGCTTCAAGAAGTAGACTGATGCAGGGTGTATATGTGGTGTATTTGCGTTCATGTATACTGTATGCAGTACACGTGCTGGACTTGGCACTGCCAATATCGAATCTTCTAACTGGTTGAATTGGGAACCAACAAGTGTCCAGCAAAATACTGCTGCCATCTATTCATCATGTGTACAGACTTTTCCAGCACCTTGAGATGAATAGCAAACACCCCAAAGTCAGTTGTCATGTGTGCGACGGCATTTATTGGTACTTAGCTCAAATACACTATCTCTTATGTGGGGGCCCTATCTCGTTCAGACTACGTTAATAGCAAATCACACTATCTCGTTCAGACTATGTTTATGTGGGGGCCCTATCTCGTTCACAAGCGAATACTGATGATAGACAAGCAACTAGAGCATGCCGTAGACGCAGACTACTTAATCAAGTAAAAGTGGTTGCTCATGTGTCAGAGTGTAACACAAAAATATGGCCAACAGAGTATTCATACTGCCGACTTGTATGAAGTTAGAAGTTACCCAAACACTCCATGCATGGCACATTTACATACATTGACCCCGGGTCAACCAGCCCAACTGATGGGTAAAGTACGCCAGTCCCATTAGTCGTGTCTGGGTTATATCAATGTTTTCGGTCAGTTTCAGTGTTCGTTTGGAGTTGTTCTCTGGTTGGTGTTTTCAGCCTACTTGAAACATATTAGTCAGAGGGTCCAATCATCCCCAAGTAAGGGTTGAAAATAGAAATATCTGAAACCATCACCTGGTTCTGTTCTTCCTCAGTCTCGGGATTTCCACAAAAAGGGGAGAAACATCGAATGGCGCTGTCAAAAAGGGCAGCATGGAAAGGAGTGTGAAAAGCTCGGCTTTGGACACTCTCTCGGCCAAATGAGGATGTTAATGGAATAGGCAGCAACAAGCCGCAACTTCATCAGGGCAAAAGGCAGTGATGGAACCTGTGGTTACCCGCTTCCGGCCAGAAACGGAGAAAATCCATCAATGCCTCGGATGTCTTTCTCAATCTCTCTCGCCTCGCCCCCTCCGTTGAGCCAGTCGATGGGGTTCAAATAGGAGGTGGCTTGAAACCGCCAGGTCCTTGGGCAAACAATGGCTCGTGAAGAACATCAGGGACCAGGAACTTGGACAAGCATATTGCTTTGGTTGAGACAGCGGATGGACATAAAAAGCGTTGAGCCACAAACATACAGTACCTCTACTCCATAGTTGTCACACAACCAAGAGTTATATAGTAACAACTAATTAGTTGTCATGTGTTGTCCCTCAAGCCCACGTCGTCACAGTTTGAGAGCCAGACATGACCATCGCAAAGGTGCTGAGCAAGGTGGCCAGCAAAACTGGCCAACAGTCGCCGCGGTCGCGCCACGTGAACGTTCGACGACCCGTTGGTGGGGTCGTCGTGGGATCGTTCATGATGATCTCACTATACCCTAGGGCTCCTGGCCTACCTCCTGAGAAGGTGGTTGGGGTGGGTTTGGGGGGTCTAACCACCTTCTGAGGATATCTCTTGAAGGCTCAAGCACACGAATTTACGAATGAAACATGTTGAAACCGAATATGCACGATCGAATGGACACCATGACATGGTAAACCTGCGGTATGGCCCGGGGTCCCCGGAGTGTGAGCCTGCACCTATTGAAAACACACACGCACACCAATGACCCTTACAGTAGCAAGTGCTATCCATATTGAATTATAGCTCCACATGTGTGCGGCGGCAGTTATTGGTACTAAAGTCAAATACACCATCTAATTATTTCGTTTAGACTACTTAACTTAAGTAGGAGGTAATGTCACAGTATCCCATTCAGACTACTTTAGGAGCAAATCACACTATCTCTTTCAGACTACTGTAGTGTCATCAAGCAAAAGTATCTCGTTTACTTGGGGAGCACTGTGGGGGGCCTATCTCGTTCACAAGCGAATACTGATGATAGACAAGCACATAGAGCATGCCGTAGACTACTTTAAAGCCTAAATAAAATGGTTGCTCAACACAATAATGAACCACAAATATCAATGCATATATATTATCGAACCATACAACAACGACAATTGAACGTCTTGGACCTTTACCATCCTTTACCCAACGCCCCACAAACACGTCTGGCGAGACTCACGAAGGCCAAATACTTGGCGCTGCAATAGGGGAGACCTGCTGTTCATGTGTCCAACACGGCACCCGCAACCAATGGCAAAAGGATCTTCCCTTCTGGACCACCTCGCAGCTGAATTTTAAGGTTGGAACCAAAAGGAACCTCCATCCTGGGACCGGACTAAGTAGGTAAGCATCAAACTCCAACAAATCTAAGTGCCAGAAGCATGCCATCAACCGCTGTACTTCAAGGGCTTCAGGGCTTCAACAAGTCTCTCTCGCTGCTTCGGGCGCTACAAATTCGAGGGTCAAGCCGTTGGCCTCAAGCCATTGGCCGTTCCCCAAAGATCCCCAAAGTGATAAAGATATTGTCCTAATCCTCCCGGGAATCATCGGGAAATCACGGGAAACCCGGTTTTGGCTGCTTGGAAACTGACGGAGGAGCCCAGTTGAGCAAGTCCCGAGTCGATCTGAGCTGATCCATCCCAGCTCTGACCACTTGTCACCAGTGCCCTGTGACCGACCATAGGTGGAGGGTTCCTTCCTCGCCTTCCCTTCCACTCGGTTCTCTTAGATGCTATTCCCTACCATCACCCAGGGCACCAGGTCGGACCAAGGTCCGCGCCATGCAAACTTGCCACCAGCATCAGCAGCCAAACCATGCCGATGCCCGCAATCTGCTCTGACCTTGGAGGCATGTTCCATGTTTGGTCCAGCATTCGAATGTGGAAGGGATGTCCGATGTTCTGATAAAATTTGTTGAACAAAGTGTGGTTCCTGGGTTGCAGTCTATACAAATGTGAACAAGAGCCACACTTCTGGAATTCCGACCGGCAAATCAACTGCTATTGGAAACCTTGTGGTTTTGCTTATAACTTATGACTGGTCTTGCATTTCCAGCATATTCCAACTACCAAGCTTACCCACATAAATCGGCCCTCCCAGGACTTGGTTTGCACCTTCCTCTCCCTGCCTACCTGCCTTACCGGCGGGCATGCCGTACCAGCCCCCTTTGGGTGACCAACTGAGTTCCTGACTTCGCCTCGACCAACTCCCTCAAGACCTCCGGGTAGCTCATCACCGCCTGGGTCGCGCACCGAAGGGGAACACCGGCACCGCGCACCGGTAGCACCCGACGTGTATTTTTTTGGAGGTCTGGACAGTTGAGTCACTGATGCGCCAACCGGACCAATGAATTTATACGGAAAGAAGAAAAAGAAGAAGCAGAAGCAAAAGCAAAAGCATCTACATCCATTCCCCGTCCATGAAAAAGGATATTACATGATATTACTATATAATATAACCAATTCAATGTTGAATTCTGAAAGAAAAAGGTCCGACTCCGTGTGCGGAGGACGTGTGCCTTTTTTTTTCGTGGGGCGGGTCACTGACCATGGTTTTTCATCCAAACTCTTGAGCAGACCAACACAATGCCTAGGACTCCAGTCGTACCTTCTGAGAAAGTGGGACTGGGGTGGGTGCCACGAGGGTCCAAATACCTTCTAAGGATGTACTTGGAGCCCTAGGGAATAGAACATCAGCTCTTGGGCAACCTTTGGGGCTCTGTCCATTTGAACGCCAATCAGCTCCTACACGATGACAAAAACGTATACATATGTATATACGCTAGATAAACTGTTCACCTAGAAGATTCACCGACTCCAAAACAAGGCTCGCGGCTATGAACAAAATACCGTGACAGGTGCAAGGGCGGCGCCAAAGACCAAATGGCAGTCTCATTCAACCACCAAACCTTGCACCATCCATGCCTCGGGTTCGGCTTCCGGCACCTCTTCCTCTGGACCTGCACACTCGCGCAGGAGAGGCACTTGGACTTCTCGAAGGGAAAACAAAAAGCAAAACCAAAGAAGTGAAAGTACCCATGTAACATTGCTGTCCACTAGCTACCAATGCTACCAATGTTTAGGGTTTATTGACCCTCTGCGACTTGGGGACTAAACGGGGAGCAAACCACCAGCGCCCTCCACCAAGCGACTGCCGACTGCCGAAGTATACGAAAGCTCCGCGCGTCGTCAGCTTCTTCGTGGACGCCTCCAGATTGTTTGCACTGGTAGACATATGTAGAAATCCCAGAACACGCAATGTTACATCATTTTACATTCCCAGTCCATGGAGATACATAGAGCATGTCTCCAAATAATTACACAAACCTCCCCAAACCCACGACGGTTTTTCCGACGAACCATTCGAACATCGACCAAAAGAATGGGCCAGGGGGGTTGTTGCCTGGGAGGTCTCTGTTTCGAATTCAATGACCCACTCCACATCTCCCCTTTCGGAAGTCGAGTCCAAATTCAAAAAAGAAACTGCTTGAGGTTCCCACAGTTCAGGAGTCATGATCTTCCAATCTTGAATTCAACTGTAGCGGATTGTTTGTAAGTTTAGGATTCTGCCAAGCAACGATGGATTGTTCAACCTCCTGTCCACACCCTCCTCCGCCTTCCTCCCTCTTCTCGTTTAAAACTGAATTTAGTGTTGAGATGTGTTACAGTGGTATGTTAAGGTGAAACATCACAGGAAACATTCAACGTTGCCCCGGTGAAGGGCCTCATCATGAAAACTCACCCCCCCAAACTAAACCATGGACCCGAATCTCTCGAATTGACCAGTGCTTTCGACCCTCAAACCCTCTAACCAGCCCCGTGGTTTTGGGGTTCCATGTGGTCCACCAGCTCAGGTGGCCGCCGCCACCGCATCGGGTGTCCCTGCGATGGTCCAGCTGCTCCTGCTCCTGCGATGCTAGGGCCCGGTGTTGGGGGGAGGTGGAGCCGAGCAACCACTGAATCACGACGTGACCATGAACAGTACCTGAGACCTGAGATGAATAAAGCAGGATAAATCAATGAAGGAAATGGCGTGGACAGTACCTCACTGACATGAATCTTGTCCCGCTAGAATTACTGTTTTTTGGTATAGCCCAAATCGGCGCAGGATGAATATGTTCTTCACAGTCAAGAAAGCCAGTTGAACAGTTGGGAACGTTGATGAAAGACTCTTCCGTTGGGGGGAGGGTCGAGGTGAGCAAAACTGATAATGTTCCTTAAACGACTGGTTAAGCTCTCATGGTTGAATTATATAATCCATGAGTATCCATGAGTGAATGGATCAGCTTCTTGCATAGATCAGCGAAGAATATCAAGCTAATCAAGCTAAATGAGGCGTATAAACATTGTCTCAGAAGGAAGGCAGCACAACTTATCGTCAAAAGCAAGCTGCTTCAGCTGCAAATTACCCATCTGTGCCTTCATCCTTGACACATTTCTTGACAAAAAAAACACTCGGCAAGAAATCTGGAGCAACAATCATTTGGTCCAGTCAAAACTATGTTGCACTATAAACATCACTGTCTCAGAAGGAAGGCAGCACAACTCTCGTCAGAAGCAAACAGCTTCAGTTGCATGTCTCAGTTTCATTTGTGCATTCATTCATCCTTGGCAAAGCAAACAACAAACTCCTCACTCAGCTACAGCGCCAACAACAATAACAACCCTTGATGTACAAGCACAAACTTCCTGTAATCCGAAAGCATGCTGCAACGTGGCCCATGGCCAACCTGGCTAACCTTAGTGACGTTCCAAGTCTCTAAGCAATCATCAACCCCGCTATCTCAGAAGGAAGGCAGCACAACTTATCGTCAAAAGGAAGCTGGTTCAGCTGCAAATTACCCATGTGTGCCTTCATCCTTGACATTCTATCTCAAACCAGTGTTGAATCAATCAGTCGTGAGAAACTGTTGACGCTCTCTCAGAAGGAAGGCAGCACGACTCTCGTCAGAAGCAAAACAGCTTCAGTTGCATGTCTCAGCTTCATTTGTGCATTCATTCATCCTTGGCAAAGCAAACAACAAACTCCTCACTCAGCTACCGCGCCAACAGCAATAACAACCTTCAATATTCAATGTACAAGCACACAGTTCTTGCACATCCGAAAGCTTGCTGCAACATGGTCCATGGCCAATGATGACGTTCAAAGTCTCTAAGCAATCATCAACCCGGCTATCTCAGAAGGAAGGCAGCACAACTTATCGTCAAAAGCAATCTGCTTCAGCTGCAAATTACCCATCTGTGCCTTCATCCTTGACATTCTATCTCCAACCAGTAAGTTGTGAGAAATTGTCGAAGCTCTCTCAGAAGGAAGGCAGCACAACTTATCGTCAAAAGCAAGCGGCTTCAGCTGCAAATTACCCATCTGTGCCTTCATCCTTGACACACTTCTTGACAAAACAAAAAACACTCGGCAAAAAATCTGGAGCAACAATCATTTGGTCCAGTCAAAACTATGTTGCACTATAAACATCACTGTCTCAGAAGGAAGGCAGCACAACTCTCGTCAGAAGCAAACAGCTTCAGTTGCATGTCTCAGTTTCATTTGTGCATTCATTCATCCTTGGCAAAGCAAACAACAAATTCCTCACTCAGCTACAGCGCCAACAACAATAACAACCCTTGATGTACAAGCACAAACTTCCTGTAATCCGAAAGCATGCTGCAACGTGGCCCATGGCCAACCTGGCTCTCTAAGCAATCAATCCCGCTATCTCAGAAGGAAGGCAGCACAACTTATCGTCAAAAGGAAGCTGGTTCAGCTGCAAATTACCCATGTGTGCCTTCATCCTTGACATTCTATCTCAAACCAGTGTTGAATCAATCAGTCGTGAGAAACTGTTGACGCTCTCTCAGAAGGAAGGCAGCACAACTCTCGTCAGAAGCAAAAAGCTTCAGTTGCATGTCTCAGTTTCATTTGTGCGTTCATTCATCCTTGACTCCTTCACCTGCGAACAACAAATACATTTCAACAAACATGAAGGCAAGCTACGGTACAAAAAGGCCACGCTCAGCACGAAAGCATTTCTGGCATTAACGCTCTCTGCAAATGAGACTGATCTCTGATGTCTTAAAAGATGAAAGTGATACGGATACGGACAATAAAGGAGCGTCCGGTCTTCTTTGTACTTGCAACAATAGATCTGCAACACTATCTGCAATTTGTGCGTCCTGAATCGAACTGCAACATTCGGTGCTGTGCTGCATGGTGTGTCCTTCTTCAATTGCTTCAGGCCTTTTGTTCCCGTACGCCATAGTGCGAGACCTCATGGAGCCAGGCAGTGTCGACTGTCAGTGCTATGGAATCAAAACGCATTGGGGTTCAGGAACTCTCGATATAAACAGCTAGGATATTAGCACATAGATTGCCCAAAGGTTCAATCAACCGATAGCCAATCTGTACTAAGCGTTTCCCTCCCCGCTTCACCCGGGGCGTAGTAAAGAAACACATTGCAGCATAACAACAATCTGTCACTCACCGTTAAAGCACCTATGCCATTCGCATCATTCGCATCAAACACCACCGGTTCTTTCCCACCAAATCCCCTCCGACACCACCTGCACCTTTTGCGGGGCCCGTCCGTCCGTGTGTCGGTCTCGGGCATCCCGAGCACAAGGTGGAGCAGAGGAGCAACAGCAGCAGCCAGGAAGGTGCAGATCGATTCACCAGAACCTCAGCAGCGAACGAGATTGGAGATCGGTGATCGGTGGCTGGTGCTCTTCCGTGACGTGGCGTGGCGTGGGTGAACGGTGAGAAAGCCCCTTTTTGGCGGTGCGACTGTGGCGACTGTGGCGACTGGTGACCATGATGACCATGGAGTGGGTTCAGTGACAAACGTCCACTGGGATTTGATTACATCACTGTTGATTCGAGTGGGGTTCAGAATGGGTTCATGTAGAATGTAGAGTGTAGATTTGGATTTGATCTACATGTCTCAGTGGGACCAAGCCCCAACACAGGGAGACACTCTTCGTCCACGATCGTCCAGTCGGATAGGCTGTGGCGCCGAACGCCTAAGGTCACGCCCAAGCAAAGCATGGGGATCAGCACGACGATGCAATCCTGCGTGATGCCACTGTGACTCAATGGCCCAGTGGCATAATCTAGAATCTCAATGATTGCTTGGTACTTGAGCTACACTCCCGAAAACTAACATAGACCCTGACAATGGCCCCCTGGAAGATTGTTTTCCTCGACCAACCAGTGGTTTTCATTCTCCATGTTAGTCTTCCAAAATAGCAGTCGATTGGATGCCAATTGGGAATATATATTGGGAAGTATATTGGGATCAACATCAAACACAAACAGCCACTTTACATACAAGTCTTCCAAGCATCCAGTACATGTTCTGAAGGGAAATCATCATCACATGTGTTCCTTCCATCTACGGATCAAGGAGATGGATCCGTGTGAAGCCCATCTGCCCAAACCCAATGGAGTTCATCGAGCCTCATAGGCCACAGGTGGATTTGATGGAAACGTTCCACAAACACTGCTTGACTGTACTCTGCTTGAGACATGCTCAAAGTTCAAACAACAAAAAAGTAAACATTATATTAACATACGAGTAATTTAACATGTGGTAACATGTAACATGCTATGCAAAAGGGTGTCTTCAAAAGCCAGTCCTACTATGTCGTTCCCTTTTCGCTTGTCGTTCACCACCGTTCGCCCCAAACGACTTCCGCGGGGTCATAGTCGATGACTGGCAGCTCCGGGAAGTCTGGATGCCTGTTTTCCGACACGAAACGAAGACCGAAAGTGTCACGCAGCTGCGGTGGAGATTGAGATGAGCAAAACAATCTAATAGCGATGTTGGACTAGTGTTTCAGTGGAGATTGAGATGACCTTTTGGACTGACAACTGAGGGGAACTCTTTCAAACATTGGCTGACAACTGTGACCCTTGAAGGAACAAATAAAACAAAAGACACGTACACTGCTACGGTTTTGGAGCACCTGCAAAATTATATAGGATACGCCTCATGATCCCTGCGAAAAACAACTCGTCTAGAATGTCTCTCTCCCTCCTGGCAAACATGGGCAGGTTAACCCTTTAGGAATTTAGAAATGAATAACGTCCAATGTAATCTGAAACCAAGCCGCACCAGAGTATACAGAGTTGCCATTCTGGGTTGCTACCAAAGATCCATGTGCACATACTCTGCCAGGGGTCACACGGGGGTGGTGTTTGGTCTCTAAGTGAGTGGATGTTCTGGGCACCATTTGGTCTCTAAGTGAGTGGATGTTCTGGGCACCACTAACCTCCAAGTTCGGCACCCCGTCTTGTGACTCCTGGTGTGTTGATTGTTCAGATGCTCCACCTCCGGCGCTCTTCGGCACCATCCTTGACTCACATCCCCTCGCATCTCCGAGGGCCTACGCGCAATCAGCACCGACAGGTTCACAATGGAGCCCACCTCGTTCACCGGTGCACGACACAAAGAGAGACTGGACACTCCATCCTCGCCTCCTCGCTCGGGCCTCTCACCCCATCACCGGGCCTCTCACCACAGGGGTCTACGACGCCCGTCCACATGGACTGGTCATGAGGGGTCGACGGCTGCGACAAGAGCTGCGAGACGGTGCAGATCGAGCTGAGAGCGTCCCTTTTTGCGGGATCCGACCGAACCCGAAAGGGTTCGGTACAACGTACGGGCCCGAACCTGGGGAAGACATCAATAGTAGACTCTTGAGGACCAAATCACCCATATATATGACGAGGACTTCCAATTCAAATGAAAGGGTTTGTTCATCAAGAGTCTACATCAAATAGTCTCCAATCAACTGGAGCCCTAGGGAGAAAGCACATCTCATGTTGCTTGAAGGGCGCACCAGTCTGACACGTCCGTCGCCCTGTCTCCTCTCGTCGCTCCCTCAGGACCCCCGGGCGAGGATCATGAACTGCGAGAGGGCCACCACCGCAGACTCCTCCAACGATGTCTGGTTTTTGTTGGGTGATTAGTCGAATCCAACTTCATCCTAATTTTTGGAACATGTGTCATTCACTCTTTGGTCTGAAAGGAATCAACGTACCTTTTGTGACAAGCCCTTAGACTATGTTAGACTGGTGGTTGAAACTGCACCCTTCTGGTCGTTCACCTGTTGGTGGCAGTTGCAGTGGGTCTACGGACGCCGACCCCCATCAACAGCCAACCGGGCCATGTGACCGCCATGCCCCCCAACCCGCACCGGCCTGTCAAACCAGCAAGATGCATGAACGGTTGGCTTGAACAGTCTTCCGAACTAGGCAGGTCAGCAGAACAGCACAGTCTTCCACCTGGTTGCCTTTAATTGTAGGGCTAGTGTCTTTTTCCTTGCTTTTGCTAGGCTAGTGAAGTGCTTCTTCTTTGCTTTGCTGTAGCAACAGGCAGCAAACACCTGATTATCCCGAAATCACCCCTCCAGAAGTTCAATCAATATTCCTTTGCTCCTGAATTATGAATACATAACTCCAGTGGAGTTACTCATAATTCAGGAGCAAAGGAATATTGATTGAACTTCTTGGGGAGTTCACAAGGGTTCTTATGCATCTCTCTCCTCTTGAAAAAGCCCTCACATCGGAACCGCCAAAGGCTCCGATGGTTTCCCGAGATGTCCGTTGTTTGGGCCCTGCCGTGCTGCTCGGCTCGCGCCTGCAAATAGGAGAAAGAGATGAGCACCGGCACGAAGATACTGCCGCCGCCTGTCCCGGAGGCCGCTGCCAAGGCAGAGGACCTCAGATGTGGGGCTGGCAATAACTTGCAATTGTTCTGACTCTCATGTAAAAAGTGGTGAGCCAGGGATCAAAGAAGGATGGCAACCAGGCTCTGTTGTGTTGTGGTTAATGCCAAAGCGAGCGAACCATATGCATCCTGAAATCCCAATGGTTTGGCACAAAGGCGATCTTCAAGGAAACTAAACTGGAATTTAGTGTTCCGCCCTGCCCCCCCCTCCCCAATGCAAAAGTATCCAAACCCAAATCGCTCATGTCTTGTTAGGACTGTGGGTGGCTTGGAAAGCTTGCAAACGCATGCCCCGAAACGTGCGTGAAAAATAACTCATGAATCTGATATGTAGGTTGTCCAAAGGTTCATGAGAAAATAATCTGGCCGACCACATTTTTGGTGGGGTGAGGTGATGAAATGAACTGTTCTACTGCCACCCCAGAACATATCAGAAAGACTTCGGGCCTGGCCCCTAGGGAGGAGGATCCAAGATCACGTCTAGGCAAAACACAAAGGGATGCAACCCTTGGATCAGGAATATCCAACCAGCAAACGGCTCTTTCTATTTTGGACCGCAGTGTTTGATGATGGATCCAAATCCTGCAGGTTCACGCGAAACACTCTCAACACACAATCCCAACTTCCTGGGCATCGAAGGGTTCTTGGGTGGTTCTTGGGTGACTCAACACGATCCAATATCCGTGCATATGCCGAAATCTCAATTGAAACCACGCCCAGATGGCGATGCGTGACGCGCCAAAAGCGGGGACACGTTCTCTAAGATCCTCACACGAGGATGAGGAAGGTGCAGAACTTCCTCAGGCTGTCGAGCATCGGACATCAAAAGGCACTGGAGGGAAGCACACCAACCAAGCACAGACTTGGCACACCAAGCAAACCTGGCCGAGGCCGGTGTGTGTCCAATGAGTTGGGGTGTTCCCCAAAATGCCTCCGTTTGTAGACGGAGTAGACAAGAACTTAGTTGTTTGCCTTTAACGAAATCCATTTGGGACCATCTTCTTCATATACTCCTTGGTTCCAATTTGAAACAAGAACCCCTCCAAAAGCCCCAAGACCCCCCGCACGATGTCATCTCTTGCCATGTCACGAGCTAATGCAAATCTAGCAAAATATATGGTGATACGGACCTAAGCAAATTATGGTCATTTTTGGGGTTTCCTGAACCTCTGCAGCGCCCGGTGGTCCGTCTATCACTCGCCGCCCGTTGGCAGGGTGCTCACACATGTTGAGGTTTCAACCACGTGCTCACCACCCAAACATCAAACATTTGGACACCTTTGTCGCTCACTCGCGGAACACTTCGTCCTGAGGAAACGGACACCTATGCTTACCGATGCTTTAGATTTTACAGAGTTCAGAGTTCAGTGGATAGGACCCGAAACCCGGTTTAAGCAGTGAGCATCCAGCAGTAGGACGTTCCATCAGTTTATATAAAGCATTCAAAAATGTCAATAATGCTCGTAGATGTCAATTGAAGTACAGCACTTTTGACCCTTTCAAACACCACGTAGAAGTCAAGTGGCTCACTTCTATCAAACCAGGCGGACTCCCATGCCTTTCCAGGCAAGCATTGCAGACACTTCCTCGGTCTTCCTCGCTATAGTTTCCATGAGTTCCAATTAACCCTATAAATAAACGACATCGTTGCTATAACCCAGGATTCGACATAGAGGCGAGTGTGCAGGATTCCGTTGTTGTCGGAAAATCGATCCCATGTCGTGTGTCGTTCAACCCCCAATCCGTGTCGGTAAGGAGTTAGGCAGGAGGTCATTGCATGCAACAGAAGGAAGCAATTTCACCTGCAAAACAAGGTCATTGGTGCGTGAATTGCTGCATCTCGCTACAATGTTGACACGGTTTCGTTCTTGTATGAACGCGCCCGTGCAACCAACCAACGGTTTGTAGGAAATCTTGCCAGGTGCAACCAACGTTCTCTCAAGTCCAACATATTTCTGCTTTCAATGACACGCTTGCAACCATGTTTCCTACCCGGTCCGGTCCTACCCTCAGTTCACGATGTGTTCACCAGCTGGGAGGACCTTTCCGTGCTGCTGCTCTAGACTTTATTCTAGTGTTTTCTGGTGTGTTTTTTTTGAATGGAATCGCATAATTTGTATTCCATGAGGTCCGGTATGGTCCGTTTTGAATCGTCCATATAAAACCCGTCTACACTGAACTAACTGCCAAGAAACTCCTCTGAACTACGGAAAATCACTCCATGAACTGCAGGGTTTTCATGGCCTTACGCTCCATGGCGCGGCAGCGCCATCCCTCGCTCCTTAACCCGCGCGCACACATGCGCGCGCATGCGCGAAGCGATGGAGGAATCTGGTGGATGGCCTTTGGAGTACAGAATGGACAATCTAGAATGGACCCTTTTGGAAAACCAAGGACATTCACCCCATTAGTGGCCCTAATAGAAAACCCTATTAGATGGTGTGAAGGAATGTGGTAAACCTGCACACTGCATATCTGATCACTAAGACATCAAAACCCAACTTCTCAAACGCTTGAGGAACTACCTAATGATCAAAAACAACATAACATGTCCACACCCCTGGCTACCACTTTCACCTTGGCTGACGAACTCAGAAAAAACTCTCAAGTTGACTTGTTCTAACTGTATGCCCAAATCCAGCATGAATGTATGCAAATTACATCATGATCTACGTATTGCATGGCATTTCTGAGTATGCATGTTCCCTCAAGAACTGGCCCCGTCCTGGAGCCGACGCACTGGTGGAGCGATGGACACTCCGAGTCCTCCGTGCAGAAGCTGCAAAGGCCCTGCCGCGAAGCGAAGGGGCAGGACCACGCGACAAGCTGCAGAGCCCCCGGGCCGGGCCAACGCCACGCCCACGCCCCCGCCCCGGTGTGCCCTTTTTGGCGGCACGAGAACCGCCACGGGTTCGGTGGGGTTTGGGAGATCGTTTCGGAGATCGTTGATGGAACAAACATGCCGAGAACTCCAGGACCTTCAGTACGTGACCTCTTTGGAGCCTGTTCGTGACCTCATCCACGGAGATCAAGTTCGGTCACTTAGTGAAGGTCACTGGCTGAGTGGGTTCCAGGGTACCTGAAGCTCCCGAAGCTCCCGAACCACCGACTCGGCCCCCTCCGCCGCCGGACCCGGCCCAACGACCGCCGAACCGCGGCCCCGGTCCCGGTCGTCAGGCCTTCCGACACACCAGGTCGCCGCACTGCTCGTCGGCCTCTGAACTCGGCCCAAAAGAAGAGGCCAAGAGGATGCATGGAAGAGTTCAAAGCCAAAAGGAACACAAGAAGACATGAACTTGATCATTAGATATTCGGTGTAGAAAAAAAAACATGAACTTGGTGAGAAACAGGCTTGGCAAATTTTCACTTAAAGGATAAAGCATGACAAAACTACAAAGGTACCTTTGCTTTGGGTGTGTGAGAAAAACATGACCTATGACCTATGACCTCCTTGGTTCAGGCAGCAAGTGGCATGACAACCAATGATGTTTGGGCCCCCTTTCTGCATCACGCATCGAGGGTTGGACACGAACGAACCAAACTATTCCACAGACTCCATGGGACTGGCATATACGTTGCGTATATACCTAGAGCCTGACTGACCTCTGTTTTGATAGGAAAAGACAATATTTTGGATAGTTGATCCTCCAAAACAGGGGTCACTCAGGCTCCAGGTATATTTACAAACATTGACCCCTACATTGGTAGGTACATATGCCAGTCCTATGGAGTGTCTGGGTATGTATACACGTCCAATTACACGCAGTCCAATGCATGTTCTGAGGAGACTCACCCTGATCTAATATGATCTAATGATAATCCCCTCACCTTACGTAAAGCTTATATATTGCTGAGACTATTCCGATATAACTGGATGAACGGACACTAAGTATATCTGCTAACCACCTGCTGGACCAATGCCCCAAGCGTGAAAATCATCACCTCACATGTTCTGCACGTGCTCAATTCAGATCCAGGTAGCACTCTGGGGGCCCAGTTTGACCGGGGGCCCAGTTTGACCAAGCCAAATTACACTCTGGCGAGCACATTTGACATGGAAGTGGAACAATAACCCTGGCGTTCGTAAAGCGACCTTGTCTATGTCAACACCACACCCCTTTGGCGAGCAGCGCACCACTTCCAGATCCCCAGCTTAGACTGCTGCACTCAAAGAGCGCTCGAGCGACAGCCGTCTCATCGGCATGTCGCCTCTCTCAACTGCCCAAAGCTGTTTTCCCGCCAGTGACCTTGTCTCTGTCAGCACCAGCATCCAGCAGCAATTGCATGATGTCCCAGTGTTCTCACTCAGCCGCCAAATGCAAAGCTGCTTTGCCACAAGCAGTGACCTTATTTATGTTAGCATTAGACTTCAGGGACCAGAGAACACTTTCGAGATACTGTATCCATCTGAAACTGCCAACTGCAAGACACGAAGAGCTATGCCTATGTCATGCTATGTCTTTGTCTTCTGTCAACCCTTTCTCAGCACTGGCAGCCAGCAACACCTGCACCTCCTTGGGCTGCCAAATCCAAACTGTCTTGCCATGTCTTGAAGTGACTTTGTCTTTGTCTACCCGGCCCTGAAGAAGCAGCTGTAGACCTTCCATAAGCCTACTTTGTTACTTCGGCTGCCAAAATGCATCGCTGTGTGGCCTGGATGGTGCAAGTGGCCACAAGTGACAAGTGGTGCCCTTATCTCTGTCAGCACCTGCTTCCAGCAGTTAGGCTGTATGATGTTGAAGTGGTGTCCCGGAGCCGCCAAATGCAGCTGTGTACCAGTTTTCTGTGGCCTTGTCTGTGGCAGCCCAGGCCTCAAGCAAACACTTCACGATTTGTTGGTGTCCTGAGCTTCCTGCAACATGCAAAGCTGTGGCTGAGCCGGTTGCATCTGTAGCATCTGGGGCAATGGGCTGCTGGAGTGTTTCAACCCTTTCGAGTTGATTGTCACCACAGAATCTTGCAGAATATAGCCAATTTGACTGGCGGCATGTTCATCTACCAAATCGATGATATAGAGCTGGATGTCGTTTAAAGGAGGAAGCTAATCTTATCTTTGCCCTCTCTGAACCATCTCTGCCGGAATCTGGAAACTGGAACAAGTTTTGCCACATGGTTCTTGAGGGATTTGATACCGTTTACCCCCAACAACCTCAGTTCTACAAAAGCTGGTAAGTAGTTCGCCTGACAATGCTAAGAAAATCTGATACATGGCTTTCTACAAGCAGCCAGGCCGGTGAATGGCTTCTGACCTTGAGCTATCCAAGAAATACATGGCATGCAAACCAGTGTTTTCATCGGTTCCTACATCTGGACGTTCCCGGTGGCTTCCCGCTCTCACTCTATCTTGTAAGGATCTCGAAAGCTTCATGAGAATCTAATTGTTTAACATGTATAGGCTCTCGATCATTATAGAATCCCCATGCCCATGAAACATCATGAAACAAGAGGTGTTTCAATTCAATGAGTCTATAAGTCGATGCAGAGTATGGAATACCTTCGAACACCTTGGGAGCACCGATGGAGCACTTCGCACCTTCTCGTTGGAGCACTTGCGGCCCTTCACGATGCGTCGAAGGTCTTGCCAATCCAACCTCTGGCGGCCGGTGCTGCTCCCAGGGGCACGGTCGAAGAGGGCGGGGATCCCGTTCTGCTGGTGATTTCTCCCTTTCTGCTGTCTGAGGTGTTGATTCGTCTGTACCATCCTGGTTTCACTTTGCTCCAACAAAAAGGGGGGGCAACTGTAAGAAACATTGAAACAACCAGTCTACATGCCCATCCGGGCTCCAACCCTATCCCAACCACCTTCTCAGGAGCTACTTTTGGAGCATCCGGGACTAGGAGCTTTGGATCCAAGACGTCTCCGTGCCAAGGCGCGCATTCTTCGGATGCTTGGCGTAGCCAAAGGCGTCCAACCTCGGTAGAGCGGAGCATCCGAAGATCCGGCGATGCGAGCAGAGCCACCCCAACCTACCTACAGAGGTTAAGTGACCTTATAGGACCGTACAGGGGTACCTATATATAGGACAGTCATGGATAGTCTAGTTCGGGTCCTTCAACCTCTGCTGGTATGCACCTCCTCTCACGATCGGAGCGCTAACCTCATCCTCCCGCTCACCGTCGCGGCACACCGGGCGCTCGGACTTGCTCTCGTTCTGGCGCCGAGGCGGGCGGCGTGGTGTGCGCGCCATCTCCACGGGGGGATCTAAGGGACATTGCCTTCCGAAGGCCTGCGTCCTCCTGTAGCCGCTACAAGTTGATGTGTGGAGGTAGAAACATCATCAGATTAAGACAGTTCAAGATTGTTTAAGTCACTTAAAAGAAACACATATGCATTATTCCAAATGCAAAATTAGTCTTTTCACATGAAACAATGTGTCCTTCTCACACTGGTCCAACCACATCACCAGGTCCAGAAGTGTCAGTGTCTTTTGCATAAGAACATAAAAATGAATCAAAATGACTTCGACCCACCCAGAATCAGAAACATGAACCAACCATCCACTCCTCTGACTTTCACATTCTTTTCACACAAAAAGACTCCCGCCAACGGCACGTGAAAACACAGGTCCGTGAGGGTCTCCGGAGCCCCGAGCGTCCCCAGAGCTTTCGTCACACAGGTCGTGAGGGTCCACAGTCTTCGCCTGAACCAAAGGTCCCAAGCGGATCCTCGACTCCAAGAGCTCTTCGGGGCGGCTGCCGTTCACCAGCACCTCCACCTATCGATGTGAAGGACCAGGGGACGGCGACGAAGGCGTTTTTATCAAAAGGATGAACGTGTATCAGCTTAGCTTGTGTACTGTGGCGATTGAAGCGGTTGAACAAGCAACCTTAACCTGTGTGACATGGGAAAAGGGACAACATATGACATCATTGGATCATGTTAGATCTCCAAAAAGGACATGACATGTTTGGCGTATTTTGGCGTAATTTCGCGACTGGCCGATCCAGCTTCAGAATCCTAAACTTCCCAGAATTGGCCTACTGTATCCCAAACATATACCCTACACTTCCAACACTGGAGCAACCATCTTTACTGAGTGACCTGAGTGCTAGAATCATCTTGGGATGATCTAGGGGGACATCAAAGTGACCTTTTGATCCCCTGTTATGAGCTCACAAACAGGCCGGCCTGGAACAAGATCACTCAGTATAGGGATTCCACCAATTGTCACAGTCATCCCAAAAGCACGATGCACGTCGGGTGCGGGTCACCAGCATGCACCGACCTTCATTGACCGGTGTCGGTACATGCGGGTGGACCATCCCCAGTGGCCCAGGACGCCAAGGACGGCGGGTGGGGCCCTTCGGCACCTTGGCGGGCCGTGTCTCGGGCGCCCGCACCTGGAGCGGAGGGTCGTCGATGGCCGACCCAAACGACATGCCCTGGGATGTGGGAATCCAGGTTCATGCCGCTCATGCCGAACTTACAGTGGTGTTCAAAGTTGAAACCGAGAAAAAAGCAAACATAAACACTCATAAACATGCATAAACTCATTGACCCTTGCTGGTCACAGCAACACGAGCAGTTAAAAAATCCGTCTAGGGAACATCAACATCGCTGGAACTAGGGTATCAGAAAATGGAATGTTTTGAATATGAGCTACGCAGCATCCGACTGGTGGTGTTCGGAGCGGAGTTTGTGTCGGCCCACATATGTTCACATTGTGAAGTCTCTCATCAATACTACCCCGATGCTGCATGTGCAGTCACTTTCCACAAACAACGAAGAACAAAGGGCACGACACGACCTAGGTCTGGAATGGATTTGAGTGAAGTGGTAGCGCAGCTCGATTTGCATTCGATATGTCCATATTATGGACCTTGTAGAACATGAGACCCTATCCTGTGGATATCAACCTTGGAAGCCTCCACAGAGAGACCCACCGTCGTTCAGCACCTGGTGCCCTGCCACACCGGCAAGGAAGGCCAGGCCTGGGCCGGAGACCATGCGGTTCTGCCTCCGCTCCCTGAACTACATCACCCTGAACCTAATCAGCTGAAACTTGTCTTGGTTCCCAAGTCAATGCCCCAGAAACCCCATTCGAAGCAACAAAACCTCAAAAGGGTGCATTGTAGAACCCACATCTCTCAGAAGGCCTCAGCTGTATCAGCTGTACATCATTGTACATCAGTATATCATATCGTACAAATTGCCAAGGGGGTATAAGTTGATTGAGCATAGCCCGAGATCGGACATCCACCAGTTGTTTCTTCTGTCGGTGTCACTTTTGAGCCGAATGACTCTCCCAACCAGATCCCATTTGCGCTGCGCCACCTCCAGTTGTTTCTCCAAATGCTCACAAACACGTCACAACCTTTCCCTCTCAAAAGCTGTATGACTTGAGGCCAAGGGGGGGGCGAAAGCTAGCGCTCCAGAATGGGAAAGTGGAGGGCAGCGAGGTAGGAAAAAACACGGCGCTCTTTTTGGAGGCAGGGGTGAAGAGTCCTTTATATGTGGCTCTTTGCCCGGATCCTCCAGCGAGAGAAGAGAGAGAAGAGAGACGGAAAGACGAGAGACAGAGAGGAGAGAGAGAGAGAGAGAGGAGAGAGAGATGAGAGAGATGAGAAAGAGATGAGAGAGATGAGAGAGATGAGAGAGACAGTGAGACAGTGAGAGAGTGAGAGTGAGAGTGAGCGAGTGCGGCCGCAAGATACGCAACGCTAACCGCATGCCAAAGAGCGACGACAGGACGGAGTCGAACTTGCGAAGAGGGAGGAGGGAGGGAGGGAGGGAAG